GAAGGTGGATGAGATTAAATATCTGGGATCAACCATTCAAAGCAACAGAGGGTGCAAAAGAGAGGTAAAGAAGAGAGTGCATGCGGGTGGAGTCTCAGGGGTGATTTGTGACAGAAGAATAGCAGCAGGAGCAAAAGAAAAGGTTTCCAACATGGCACTGAGACCTGCTATGGTATATGATTTATAGACACTAACAAAAAGACAGGTGGGAGTGCTGGAGATGGCAGTTAAAGGATTTCACACACATCCTCAGCACCCTGTGGGGTGGGCGAAGAGCTGAAAAAAAAATTAAACATTAAAAAGAATTATTCCAGGTGCCGTTGCCTAGCCTGTAGAGATCTGTGCATCCCTGCATGGATATCCCAGACGATCACTAACTCACCACCAAATCGGCCGTACTAAACGATGTTACAGGCAGCATAACGTTCTCCATGACTTTTCCAGACTCTTTCACATCTGTCACATGTGGTCAGGGTGAACCTGTTCTCATCTATAAAAATCCCAAACCTGGTATTCTACTTCATATTCCAATCAGGCTTTACAGTACTGATCAGCGAGCACAGGCCCCATTAGAAGCAGTACTCAGTACTGGCAGTACTCATCCTTTTCCTCCTTGCACAAAGGATCAGATACCGTTCCTCCAGATGGATTAAAGACCTTCTACAGCCCTGTCCAGCTCTCCTAAAGTGACTGTCTGTAATCTCGTCCATGCTCTTGAGACGGTGCTGGAAGACACAGCAAACCTTCTGCCAATGGCACATACTGATGTGACATTCTGGAGGAGCTAAGCTACCTGTGTAACCTCTGTAGGATCCAGACATCACCTCATGCTACCAGTAGTGACACTGACCCTAGCCAAAAACAAAAGTAGTGAAAAAACAATCAGAAAAGATGAGGAAGTAAAAAATTTCAGTGGTCTGTAAAACAATCCCTGTTTTGGGGGGTTTCATTAACACGAAAGCAGCTTAAACTAATTAACAACAATGAGTCTATACTCTGAAAAGTGTTTCTCTATCTATTTTTGAGCAGTATATATATTTATTTATAATCTTTACCACAGCTTTAATTATATGAATGAACTGAATAAGATACATTTGCAAACTGTTAGTCAAAAGGGCGTTTTCTGCCCAGGACTCTGGTCTCCCACTTAACATTTGTTACAGTTAGACTTATGGGCACTCATCAGCAACCACACAGTGTGACTAAGTGACCTCATGCTCTTACATCAAAATATAGCTGACCGGTGCACAACAAAAACACAGCTGGACTTGCACTTCAAATACAGAAGAAGCTTTTGGGGCTTTCAGAGCACATAAACTGTGACACTGATTGAAAACCAAGACTGAAAACCATGACAGCATAAAATGTTAATTTTTATTGCAACCAGACATTCAAAAAAAAAAGCCAAATTTGAAAGGATGACATATGTAATTCTGACGTAAAGAACTCATACACACCCATGTCACCGAACACCCAATAGCAGCTACTTCTCATGACAGAATCGTCTCTGCTGGCTTCGAGCTGTGGGTGGTGCAGGCATTACCACACAGTGGTACAGTAGGAGGGTGTATTGTACATTAATTCTGCAACCCAACAGATGTTTTTAATGACAGCGAGGCTATTTCATCTGAAGCCTGAGAAAAGGGGAGCAGAGGGAAGAATGCAAAGGGATGGGTGCTGTCATAAGACCAAAACTGACAGTGTCCAAGGGAAACAGTGATTAAAGTTGTGTTTTATTTCCTTTCACTCCAGGTCTTCAGTGGTTTGTAGCTACCTGAACTTTTTCCTATCATCATAAATGACCAGAGGCAAAGAAAACACTGCTTTTTCCACTAAAGCCTCACCATGACTCACCATGTAGCAATGCAATGATGAATGCAGTGCATTGAAAAAACAATCTTCCTGTGCTTTATGGACCGATGACATGGACACGTGCTTGGATATCTTAATAGCGTACCATTCAGTCATTACAGTCTAATGACTGACACAGAAAAAGTTCGGTGATATCAAATCTCAAAGCATTGATATTAAAATCTTGTTTGCAAATATTGTACAAGTAGATAATTTGCGATATATGAGGTAGTTTACTCTCGCAGTAGGCTTTATACAGTATGCAGTAAAGATTGCTGGATGTGTTAATATGAAAAGGAAATGCCTAATGAAAGAGGAAAGCAACGTTGGCACTCCTCTACCTCCACCAGGTCTGAAATTACATTCTAATGGGGAGCAACTCTCCTCTGTGGCAGCATCCCAGCTGGTGTCGGGCCTCCCAGACTCTATCAGCCCTCATAGCCTCAACAGAGAGGCCGTGTCGCCAGGGAGAATTTACTATCAAGGTGGCTAGAAATGAAAGAGGGATTATCAATCGCAACTCACTGGGAAAGAACACCACAGAGTTCGGAACACGCAGATTTAAGACTTTAGATTCTTTATTAGGGAGTGCACGATCGAGAGAGAATGACTCCCTCTTCTATGTAAAACGTGACAATCTGACACAGCCAGAAAACAAGAGACAGTGGAAAACATGGAAATCTAGGTCATGACTTAATACGAATGGGGAAAAAACACTTTCGGTGTTGTTGAAACTGATATATCAACGTCGTTTTTGTGTGTGTGTACATTACAGTCGGCTCTGGAATGAGTCGGCAAACAAGCAGGTCCACGCTACACGAATGGTTTCGGTTAGAAGCTCAGGAGCTGCTGCCTAAGAAGAAAGGTAAGTTCAAAACAAAGGCGTATTTCCTTTTATGAGCACCTTAAGGATTTACAGCCACTGGTGCGATTTATTGTTGCGGATGGCTGTTTTTTAATCTGCGCCACAACAGCAAGACGGGAGCGAGCTGAGGTTAGAAAACACACTTGATTTTTCACACCTGTGGGCTGCATTTTGAAGTTTAACATGTATCATTTGCTCAACTGGTTATTTGCTATTCATAATCTGAGTGTCATTGTTCAATTCACATTTTACATCAATTGAAAAGGAAGGTCTGAATTAGTCATTTCAACACTAATGGAGAGCAGATGATGGATGGATGATGGGGGGGGGGGTTACTTTTCCAGGATCTCTTTTGAGCAGGCGAGATGATTAAAGGGGTGGGAAGGGAAGGGAAGTAGGCTGCACAAAGACACATCCAGCTGTCTAGTATTATCACGATTTCATACTATGGGCTAGAAGTCCAGTTCACATCATGTGGGGAGAATCTTGCACAAGAGAGGATCGTCTTATTTTGAATGGTATTACTTATAGTACCAGATTCCCGATTACTGAGTAGTGACAGTAATGAGTAATGATAATATGGTTCAACCTAAGTATCAGTTTAGCCATTTAAAACAGTGGTGCTTGAAGAGGCAGTGTGTCACCTTTGCCAAAGACTTCACCTTTTTTGATGGTATGCATGTGGCACTCTACTCAGCCAGGTTATAGATCAGTTTATCATCCGGACAGATGCTGTGCATAGATGAACCGACGTGGAATAATTACTGTATCCAACTTTAAATGCTACGCTTGGTTAAACTGCCATTTCCACATATGATTGACTACACTTACAGTGTGAGAGTGAAATAATTAGATCGGCGCCATAAACATTCTGGACATCATATCTTACGTACTTCACATGTTGTTCCAGCACCGAGATTCAAGGTTTGCAGTTTTTCCTAGACTAGATCCAGTAGTGATAGCAGAAAATGGCACCCTGGGTTCTCAACATTGACTTCAAAAAAACATCATTTTCCACCGACAGGTTACGCACATGCCATCTGGCTTTGAAAACACAGTGATATAAAGTCCTGAGATAACTCGCTGAGCTCACGTCTAGGATTGGGCCAGGATAGAGGACTGAGGCCTGGAAAATTCTTTTTACAGTATCGGTAAAAATTGAATATTTGATGTTGTAGTGATGTACAGGTCAGAGTCAAAACTTAGAAAATGTACAGCATTTAAGAGGTAAAGGTTAGCAGGTAGCATTTGATTCTAACTGTATAAATACCAGATTTAGCACATACAAGTCCCCCTTACTCACATGGGAAGAACATACACTACCAGTCAAAAGTCTGGACACACCTTCTCATTTAATTGTTTTTCTTTATTTTTACTACTCTCTACATTGTAGATACTCACTGAAGACATCAAATATATGAAGCAAGATATAAGGAATTATGTAGAAAAGGGAAAATTGCTAAATACCTCTAAACATGTCTTATATTTTAGATTCCTCAAAGTAGCCACCCTTTGTTGACAGCGCTGCAAACCCATGGCCTTTTGTCAATGAGCTTAATGATGGAGTCACCTGAAATGGTTTTCACTTCTGGAGTTTCTTGCTTTCTTAAAGGGGTTGGGACCATCAGTCTTGTTGTGCAGAAGTCAGCTTGGTACATAGCTGACTTCTGACTTCTGAGTGCTGCGCCCGATGGCCCAGCCACCACAGTCACCTGACCTAAACCCAATTGAGAGCATTTGGAAGGAGATGGACTGGAAACTCCTTCAAGACTGTTGGAAACCCATTTCAGGTGACTACATCAAGAGAATACCAAGAGTGTGCAAAGCAGTAATCAAAGCAAAGGGTGGCTATTAAGAAGAATCTAAAATATAAAACATGCTTTGAGTTAGTTCACAGTTCATAGTTTTTGTTTACTACATAATTCCATATGTGTGCATTCATAGCTTTGATCCCTTCATTGAGAATCTACAATGTAAATAGTCATGAAAATAAAGAAAAACCTTTAAATGAGAAGCTGTGTCCAAACTTTTGACTGGTAGTGTTTGTAAGAAAACAGCGTAAGAAAACGTTTTGCACTAAAATCTGCCAGCAGCTAATACTGCATGAAAAGCATTATAATATGCTCTTTACAAGGAAATGTGGAAAATTGGATGGAAACATGAGACAAAGCCTCTGCACTTGCACAATAATATTTCCCACCACTGGTGAATGGGGGTGAGTTCTCCGAGGTCTAGTATAGAGTATAAACCCAATTGCCCTTACAACTCTGCTCCACTGGCTTACCTGTGACATGGTTAAGTTGGTGTATGAGCTGTGCACAGAGTGAAATTCTTCCACAGGAAGGAGAAGGCCAATTTTGGAGTCAATGTCAATCAGCTGCTCCAGGTCAGAGGGCTCCGGGGTGTAACCCTGGACTGTGGGGACAGACACGGCCCACATGGTCTCCTGAAAGAAACACAAGGTCCAATGCGTGTTAGCCTGCTTTATTATGTGGCAACCTAAATGAGAGACTGATGAACATTGTCTGCCAACTTAGTTATTTAGCAACTTTGTAATATTAAAGTACAAAAAAAAAGGAAAAACATGAGAGCGATACAACTTTAGGTCCTGGTATTTTTGTCTGGATGGCTCGATTGCCAAACTCTGACAAATGCATCTTCCTCAGACTAACTGTCTATCCCAGTGGGGCTCACGTGGGAAACAATGTGTGGATGATGAGCTCATCACAGTGCGGCGGTGAGATAAGATCTTGCAATAAGACTATCATGCCAAAGAGGATCGTAACTCTCCAAAGGACGCAGCTGTAACCTCTGAGCACTGGGTTCGGAGGAAAACTGGCAAAAGAAAACAGCAAACATTGGGGTCTATTAAGTAGGTGGAACACATCACAAAGCAAAAATGTAAAAGCTGAGACCCTTAATTTTTTTTTATGACACAAATTAGTGCTTCATATGTCGATCTATTCTATTGTTTCAGTCGCTGCAATTATTTCCTTGGATATGGCAGAATGTCTCGCTGCCAGACTTCAGACTGGGTCCGTATGTCCTTTTGGTTCACATGCATGCATTTTGTTCCATTGCATGACAGAATGCGAGGTTTTGACGGACATCGCATAAAAACATCAAGCAGAGAGTGATTTAATCCTGCTGCTGCTCACCATGGAAGAGAGGAATTCACAGATAAAGAAGAAAAACAAACTCTTGGACCAGAATTTTACTTTTACCCTAAACTGAGCAGCACTGATATACAGATATAACACTGACAGATATATAACTCACATTAATAACTTGATAGAGGGGTCAGATTTAAAGGTCTGAACCCAGACCAGTAGGCACAGCTCTGTCTGATCATGAAGCCTCTAATTGATATTAAATGAATCTTCATCTGTGGTCACTCAAAATGCTCCTGTGTTGGATGTATGCAAGAATAGGGGACATTATTACCCCATGTATTCTTCGTTAATGATGTCCTTGTTGACCTGCCACGTGCATAAACACGCATGTGAAAGTAGTTACCATTTCAGCTGCATTGTGATACTGTAGGTATTTATCAAAGTCAAGGAAAAATTCGTACACACAGCCAGCCGTGGCCAACAAACAGCACTGATGTTTCCAACAAAATAAAAAATACCAGAGTAAAACTCACATCATGACAGATATTTTAACGTGTTCTGTCAAATTTGCGATACAAGATGGAAGGAGCCTAAAAGAGGCACAATGGAGAGCTTTTTGTCTTTTTCCTCTGCCAAGTAAAGGTGGGCAAACTGAACTCTCTGAAGCTTCCAGTATGGACCAGTTTCTGTGTAGGAATGTGAACAGAGACCTGAAAATGGATAAATAAATTCTCAGACTCTCTCCAACGCTCTGTGTCAACTTCATCTCTAAGGGCCAGATCTGAAGACGAGAAATAAAGACCGAGTTAATCTGCGTGTTGATAGAGCTTTGGTGCTTCCTATAGCCAGATATAGTGAAAGGCTCTCGCACAAGGCCTTTCCTAAGGGATAAACGCGTTCTGCGATTACTGACTCCTCCTGATTTATCGGGTTACACAAAACTTAGAGCTTGTGAGAACAGGAGTCAGTAACATCCAAATCAATGTGTGAGGCAAACAGTAAGCAGTAGATTTTGGTTGATGTGTCCCAAAGGACTCTACCAAGAACTTGGTGAAGTCCTCAGAACTAAAAACCCTTCGCTGCCAGAGTCATGGTGACATAAATAATATGCTTGCTATGTTATTGCTATTCATAATAGCACGTCTTGCAATAACAGGAAGTCTTCTTGCGGCCAATGAAAAGACTCAGAGCATCTGTGCTTCCCCCAGTTTGGTATCTGCCACCAAAATGATTTCAGTACTGTTTTAAAAGTCAAGAGAAGCATCACGAATAGAGCACCAAGAAATTACAAAACCTTGGCAAGCTGTGCCACGGATGCAGAGCTGTCAGTGTTGAACTAAATGGAACCGCATGTTAAAAGTAAGTAGGGTGTTTTTTCTTGCATTCCAGAGGGTTTCATCTCATCTGACTTCAAACTGGTCGCACAGCTGCCAAAAGAGTTATTAAGGCAAATTAAAAGTGAAAACAAAATCATTTGAAGTTAGAATGGAGTGGGTGGGTTCACAGAGAAATCCAGGTGGCAGGGTCTCAGATAAATCCTCAAAGGAAAACAAAAGGTCCATTCTCTTAGCTTTAAGCTCTATCAGCACAGTGTGTGCAGCTGTAGGGATCCTGGCTTCTGAATTGTGCTGAAACACGGCAGAGGGAGTAGTTTTGAAAACATAATTATAAAACTAATGGATAACATGGAGCATTCCGTGTGAACCACATGTGGCACTTGACATCTGGCTCATAATGTGAAGCGCTTTCAGAAGTCAGAATCTTCTGCCCGTCGGCTGTCTAAGCTGCCAAGCAGTCTTTAAAACATGGATATCTGACCCATATGCTCTTCTGAGAGGCAAAGTGTGGCTGAGTTATTTAACAATTTTAACAACAATAATATATTTCCACCTACAGTTATGTGAAAAAGAATGTTTCAAACTCAGTACACCATTACTGCTTTCATAGGAATTAAGGGCTAAGTAACAGCCAGGTGCTGCTAATCAAATTCACTTAATCGATCATCACCAAATCTGAGTACCTCTATAAAAAATGAAGTTTTTACTGTTTGCTGGTCGGTAGTATTCATGTGTGTGTTATCATAGTGCCACAATCTTTATAGTGGACATTACAGCAAACCCACCCCACCCCCAAAGCTACATCTCAGACTCTACAGGACTCAGTTAGCATGTGAAACATTAAAGGTTGTGCCAGTACTCTATGAAAAAGCATGAGTTGTTTGCCAGGGTTGCGAGGAAAGCCTCTGTTCGCTAAAAAAAACACGACAGCACGGCTTAGGTTTGCAAAACTGCATCTGAACAGACCCCAGTACTTCTGGAGCAATGTCTGTCCTCAATGCACGGTGCCACAAACCAAAAACAGCATAACAGCGCAAACCTCCTCATACCCACTGTCAAGCATGGTGGTGGAGGAGTGCTGATTTCGGCTTGTTTTGTGGACATGGGCACCTTGGTGTTATTGAGTCAACCACAGAGTCAAATATGAGGCAATCTGTCCGACAGATTAAACTAGGCCCAAACTGGATCATGCAACAGGACAATGACCCCAAACACAGCAGCAAATCTACAACAGCATGGCTGAAAAAGAAAAAGATTCAAGGTGTTGCAAAGGCCCGGTCAAAGTCAGAACCTCAATCCGACTAAAATGCTGTAAAAGAGCTGAGAATAAACAACTGCATGGAAACTTTAATGAACTGAAGCAACAGTTTAAAGAAAAGTGGAACAAAATTCCTCCACAATGATGTGACAGACTGATAGTGTCACACAGAAAAAAATACTTCAAATTCTTGCTGCTAAAGGCGATTCTCCAAACTCATGGATTATAGTACTGTATGTACAGGGCTGCATACAGTCCTGTGAAAGCTCTTTTTTACAGGACTGTATAATATCACAAAAGAAACTATTTATTTAAAAATGATGGGATTGTATTAAAAGGTCATTATAAGAATTATAAGTTTTATTATATGTAGAAAGCAGAAAGGATCAACGTGTTGGTAGAGGAGGCAGCTGATGAGATCATCCCCTCCGACTGTGCTATTGCACAAGGCCTCTGAGACACAAAGGGTAAGTACAAAGAAACTTGAAAAAGAGAGACTCATTCTACAGCATATGTTGCCTGTTAGGGCTTCTTGTCAGCCTACCTTGCTGTCTGCGCCTCTGGCAGTGTCGTCTTCCTCTTCATCTATTTCTCGGAGGAGCTCAGCCAGACGCCTTTTCTCTGCCTGGGTCAAAAGCACTTCACCTCCTCCGGCATTTACAAGCTATTGCATAACACAACATTTGTGATAGACACTAAAATTCATCATTTGCCCGGCATTTCTTTTCTTTTTAGTGGTGTCCTATTATGTATAAATTATTGGGGGGTGGGGTTGTTGTTGTTTTTTTAACAAGAGACCAAATATTTTCCTCAGTGGAAAAACCAACAGTGGAGAGACTCACTTTAAGTCATGCGATATATCCAAGTACTCCATTTGGCCCAGTCTGAACTTTGACATACCTCAATGTTTTTCTTGACAAAGTCCTTCTGTTTATTCATGCCTTTGGAATCTCCAGAGTGGCTGCGTTCAAATTGGTCTTCCCTAGTGTCTTCATAATCTCCTTCAAATGATCTGATCAAGCTGTCTGGCCTCTTTTTACCTGTCAAGGAAAGTATGCAATGTATTTCCGAGGATACATATTGAAATAGTAAGTCAAGACTCTAATAACCAGTTAAATCTGATAATGTTATTTTACAAATGTGGTTCTATGATCCTATTGACATGATGAGTTTGCAGCTGCTCAAATCAGAGTGATCAGAGTAAAATATACAAATATAAGTAGTTTGTAAAGAAGTAGACTAAAAATATTCTTACAAGGTGGCATAGCGGGCAGGAGGACAATCTACTAACTACATCTTAGGCCTCTATGATAGCAAGCAGCTAATCTGCCTAAGAATCGTTGAATGGAGCAATTAGCATTGAATTGACTGCTGTTTTGGGGAGGGATTTATTTCTTAGGGAATCAATATCATAAAAAAGTCACATGATCCTGAAAAGAAAAATGTTTATAAGTCACACAGGGCCAGTTGCTATACATTCACTTCTTGGAAATATTTCCTTTAGCACATTAATGCCTGCAGCAGGCTGAAGTGATGCAAGAATCAAATGCTCAAGTTCCCTGACCCTGTGGCGCCATCGTGTGCACAATTTTGGAAGCACAAACAAGAACGTATTTTCTGTTGCAGTCTTTCCACAAGCTCACTTGGCTCCAAGTGCTGGTTGTTTCCATTCTGCTCATGTTCAGGAATCTGAGTGTCAAACACAGGTATAACGTTGTTGTCCTCATCTGTTCCTAGAGGGCGATAAGAAAGTCTTCATCAGTGACTCAGTGATGATATGAACTGCATTTTCCCCACACACTTGTTGCTGTTCTGAATATTACCTTCGGGTACTTCCAAAGCCAAAAACAACCTTGTGTTCAAAGCTTCCTGAGCACATCCAGAGTGACCTTCAGGTTTATTCTGCTGCAGTACAACACACAGTATAACATCACATATAGGTGATTTAATCTTTTAGATTGTTTTAATTTAACTGAGTGCACTCAGGGCCGTGGGAGTATTGCAATTTCAAATTCCTGCGTATGAGCTGTACATATGGTTTTTAAAAAACAAGCTGACTTCGACTTCTGACTTTGAGGTGATAAGAATGAAAATATTTTAGTTTTAAAACAGTCTAATAAACTGATCAAGGAAGGAGAATGGATACAAAGGGGTGTATACCTTGAACTCTTGCCAGAGTTTTGCTTGAAACTCCTTTCTTTGTCGCCGGACTTCTTTTAGTTTGAAGATTTTTGCAGACAGTATCTCATCGAGTCTTTTAATTCCTTCAATAGCTCTCTGCAGTTTAAAATGTTCATTCTGTCCCTCGGAAGCATCAACGTGAGACTGATCTGCAGTCCAATATTTTTTGTAAGTGAGTGAACGTCAATAAAAGTCAACGACACAGCACACTGTGTGGAATTGTTACCTTTGCCAGGACATGTGACTGATGAGTGGACTGTAGTCTCTTCAGAGCTGTTCGGAATCTACAGGAAATTGTAGTCTAAAGTTACGACATGCACACCAATGACATATACAATGCTAATATGTCGTGTTTAGTTAATTACCTGAGCATCAGGAGCATCGCTGGGCAAAACAACAAGGGAAAATGGAGCTGTGGGACAAATTCTGTCACTTTGAGGTAATGATACGCTGGACACGCGGCTAGCTGTTTGCTCGCTCGACGCAGGTCGGGAAATGTCATCTAAAGTGCCTCTGGTGATTTCCATAATGTGTGTTTTTAGCAGCGCTTCAATGCTAAAGTTACAAGGGTGTATTTGTAACAATTAAATAACTAACTACAGTCAAAGACTTTTCCGCTAAATGTTTGGTAACTAAGGACGCAATCACCTCTGATGGGGTAGCTATGGACATTTGTTACTATGGCTACTGAACGAAATCTAGGCGGCTCAGCTGACGCTTCAATCAATGCGGCTAGCTAGCGTAGCGGGTCAAGCTTGGAGCTAGCTGGCGCTTAGCTGGGGCGGTAACGCTCGGCGCGTTAAATCATATATTTTGTTGTTTCTGTTGTAGAATTAAATTATTTCGGCGTAGCTGGAATATTGCTTATTCATGTCTGCTCTGTGAGGGTGCGACGTTGGAGGTTTCGAGGCCGTGTTTTAGTGGTGAGTAACGTTTAATAGTGAGCAGTTTCTGTCTATTTAGCATTAACAAGCTAAAATAGTAAATGTTGAACTACAGTAACAATGAAATCAGATGATATACTTTGTCGGATAATACATTTTCATTGGCTATAGCACAAGTGGTACCCACTTATCAACATTTTATACTATTTGTGTAAAAATGTCATCTTTTGTCCGGGCCTTGTGTCCTGTAACGTTATTAAAGGGAGCTGCGAATGCTAAAAACGAAACAGTGAAAATGGGTGTGTAATCGCTGAGACGGAACCACCGTAGTTATATTTTATCTGTCGTAGGTATTTAGATGAAGCAATTGCTTCTTAAATAGTGTATATTTAACGCATGAAAGCGAGTGTTTGGTTTTGCTCTCTGTTTAATGCTCTCCTGCCAGATGCTAATACCAATATCTTTACAGTGCTGTCATTGTAGCACTTCCCCATAATCACACCCATTTCGCTGGCAGCTGCCCAAGCTCTGCAGTGTACCTGCACCAAGCAGGTGTCAGTATATAGAGGCTGTGGAGGATAACCTTTAAAGCATTGTGTATCGACAGTTTTGTAATAATGTTATTTTCTGATTCTGCCAGGTTGAATTGACTCTGAAGGAGAAGATGTGCAATGGAATGATAGAGTCAATATCAAAAGCCTTTTGGGCCCACACCTCAGCCACTAAACGGTCCTTCCTGTTGCTGCTGTTTCTGATTGTAGTGTCCACTGGGCAGGGGTCAGGTATGGGACAGAATTTATTATGTTCACATCTTTTTCTCACAATAGACTTATTAAATTAAGTTTATCATGACACAGATTGAATGGGTGAATATTAGAAGTCAGTAGCCCTACTCCATCTACTACACAGTAGATGTCATCAGATGCATTATGTTGTAGCCCTAATAAAGCAGCTCTGTGTAGCATACCTATTAACTTTATAGCTCAACTAAATAATTATTATAATTAAATTTCTAGTTCAACTCTTGAGTTGTTAGGCAATTTGAAGAATTTGCATTGGAAACGTTAAAAAGGCTCTGTATACGCTTCTTAAATCAAAGAGGCTATGGCTACTGTTCAGCCATGTCTGAGACCGGGAGGGAAAACATACAAAGCTGTGTAAAAAAAAAAAAAAAAAAATGTCACAAACAAAGGACAAAATCAATTATACCTCAGATGAAAGTGTTATCAAACCATGATGGCAATAAATAAAATAATAATTTGGTTTCATATGTATCAACACTGAAGAGGATCACCACAAGTTTCACCTGGAAAACACCAGGGATGCAATCAATTAATTACCTCTAACGTCTGCCCGTACATGGCTAATTAAAAGGCAGCCATGATGTCTCTATACCTTTCAGTTTCATGGTGAGGTTTATAAATAAAAATGGATCGTATAGACTGATGTTATCATATATCATATATTGATACTTGTTAATTAATAAATATGTTAATTAAATTGTGAATGTCTCAAAAAGCTTAAACTGATTTTGGTGATCCACTGACCTTTCCTAATTTGCCTCTCTTGCACCAAAATCTTCTATTTACACACAGTATTGTGGTATTTTCCATTGTAGGGTGATTGTAATGACACGTTCATTTTCTGAAAAGCTGAGATTAGTCAGTCTCTTGGAACAAAAGCCTTTCTGCTCTACATTTATAAGGTCCTTTATATTTGTTAAAAAGTCTTTATCATTAGGAGGTACTTTTTAATAGTGTTCAGGATTACCAGTGAGTCATGCAGGAATAATTCAGTTTGTTTTGTAACATTTGGCTCCCTCTTTTGTAATATGTCCAGGTGTTTCTTTTGTTAATCCAGAGAAAATAGTTTTCATGTGATCATCTTGAATCAAATTTGTCAGATTGCAAAAAAAGGTGTGAAAAAGTGTGTCTGGAAGCAGCCTTGCCTCATACAGTAGTTTAGTAGTTTACTTTTAGATTTGAGATTATAATAATAATAATAATAATGGATTGCATTTATATAGCACTTTTCGAGACCCTCAAAGTGCTTTACAAATTCACTATTCATTCACTCTCACATTCACACACTGGTGGAGGCAAGCTACAGTTGTAGCCACTGCTGCCCTGGGGCAGAGTGACAGAAGCGAGGCTGCCATATCGCGCCATCGGCCCCTCTGGCCAACACCAGTAGGCGGTAGGTGAAGTATCTTGCCCAAGGACACAATGACCGAGACAGCCCGAGCTGGGCTCAAACTGGCAACCTTCCTATTACAAGACAAACTGCCAACTCTTGAGTCACGATCGCCCCAGATTAGATCGCCTCAGATTAGCTGAAATATCAATCTGAACTCTTTGTTGCCTTGAAAAAGCAGTTTTAAAGAAATTCTTCTGTGTTCTTCCTCTCTTCCCAGGATGTGTGAGGCCGTACATGGTTCAGAACAGCTGGGTAAATCTCACAGAAACCAACAGGGGCTCATTCCCTGTGGGCACAGTATTGCAGTACAGCTGTGACCCCGGGTACCTCCCAGATGGACCCAACATCCTCACCTGCACCGCAGTGGGACGATGGTCCTCTGAACCTCCACGCTGTATACGCAGTGGTGGTAAGATATTCTCTCCACTGTTGTCTTTCTTTTTGATCTGTAAAATAGTGAGTGGCTAATGTGTTTTGAGCAGTTTACCTAACATCTTTATCTCATGATTTAAACCCTTTTTTAAAAACCATCAGTTCTTTTCAAGTTTTATGTATGTTGCACTTTGCTGTCTAATATTTTTCAGCCAGATTTTTTTACATAAGTACTTTTCCGGATAAGTACTTTTAAAGATAAGTTGTTTTGTTCTTCTTTTTTTCTCCTCTCTTTAGCATGCCTCCCCCTCTCTAAACCGGATAACGGGGGCTACACCTGCCACCCATCCCCTTGTCGACTGTTCGCCCATGGCACTGTGATTGAGTTCTTCTGTAATGAGGGCTTCATGCTCAGCGGAGACTATAACTACCTGACATGTCAAGATGGAGAATGGGACGGCCCCATGGAAATCAGCTGTGTAAGCCAAGGTTGGTCAGTCCTTAGATTGATCCCATCTCTTCAAAGTTTAACACATTGGCTAAACATGAGCGTGCAGATGTTCTGGTTATGTTCTGGTTATCATATGCACATTTTGCTCGTCAATTAAAAAAGTCTTCGAAAGACATAATTGCAAATTAATTGTGTGTATTCAAATATATTTATTTTCTCTTTATCTGTTACAATTTCTTGTAAAGCATTTTGTGTTTGTGTTTAATAATAAGTAAGTAAGTAATAAGTGTAATGAATAACATAAATTACCCCTGCCGCCACCACCTTCTTTAGGGTGTATAAGACCTTCCATGGTGCAGCATGGCTCAGCTAATCTGACAGACAGCAACATGAGCTTGTTCCCTGTGGGCACAGTACTACATTATGGCTGTGATCCTGGTTACCTGCCAGCTGGACCCACCAGCCTCACCTGCACCAAACTGGGAGACTGGTCCTCTGAACCTCCTCGCTGCATACGCAGTGATGGTAAAGACAAACCTCCTATCAATTCTTAATTTGCCTAATTCTTAGGTGCATTGTATCCTTAAATGAAAATGATTTTTTTTTTTATTATTCCAGATAAAATAAGATAAGACATAACACATCTTACTGTTTCTATACATTCATCGTATTTCTTTCTTTTTCATGGACAGTATGCCAGCCTCCATATCAGCCAAAAAATGGTAGCTACACGTGCCACCCCTCTCCGTGCAAAAGATTTTCTCATGGCACTGTGATTCAGTATTTCTGTGATGACGGCTATATTCTGAAGGGAGAATATAAATTCATCACTTGTCAGTATGGGAAATGGGACACTGTAATGCCAGTCAGCTGCCTCATTGAGCAAGGTAAAATGGGATTCGCTGATACATCAGTTCATACTGTATCAAAAGGCTTTTCTTATCTGTTATAACTATTTTATTCGTTCATCTATTTTTATAGCTTAGAAAATGTTTTATGAACAAAGCCTGTAGTTATTGCTGGAGTCAAGCTGTTTACAGCTATCAACTATATTTTCCTTATCATCTCCTTTTTAAGGTTGTAGAAGACCCTCGATGGTGCAGCATGGCTCAGCCAATCTGACAGACACCAGTAGGAGCTTCTTCCCAGTTGGCACAGTACTACAGTATACCTGCAATCCCGGTTACATCCTGGATGGACCCAGAACTGTCACCTGCACCACACTGGGACACTGGTCCTCTGAGTCTCCTCGCTGCATACACAGTGATGGTAATTTTCTTGTTACATACAACACCAGTGACATGTTAATGCTAGGTGTAAGGTAAGAATTGTTGTCAAGATCATTTGTTCACCACCTTCAACAACAAGGCATTTATGAATAATGGGAATAAAGTTTCTCTATCCTGCTAGGTCTTAACTCTTTTCAGTGTTTATAGTGATGGTTTGCCCATTTTATCTCAGTATAACAGTTATTTCAGAATTCCGTTTGATTTTGCTGTTCTGTAATCCTATCACTCATTTATTATTTCTACCCTTAACAGTATGCCAGCGTCCATATCAGCCAGAGAACGGAGGCTTCACCTGCCACCCCTTCCCATGCCAAAGACTTTCTCATGGCACTGTGATTGAGTATTTCTGCAATGAAGGATACATTCTCAAGGGAGACTATAAATATCTTACCTGTCAGTATGGGGAGTGGGACAGCCAAATGAAGCTAAGCTGCATCATGAAGCAAGGTGACGATAAGAAAATGGATTTCAGCTAATAATTTAAAAAATCTGCACAGATAACCATATAACTGCTTGTCTGTCCCACAGACCACAGTCCGACTTTGCCACTGGGAATGCCAACTTTATCCATAGTGGCATCCACAGCTTGTTCGGTGGCTTTTATCCTGCTTCTGGTTGTGCTGTTTGTGCTTCTTCAGCCAAAACTTAAGTCTCTCCATCGGTAAGTCTGCCCAAAGAGTCCCCTGAATTTGACCACGAACAAAGGGTGCAGAGTATGGAAACTAGATAAAAATGTGACTGTGTTCTTGTCCTCTACACCTAGACGCGATCAGGGCGTGTCAGGACAGCCGGTGTCAATCATGGTGGAGGGAGTACAGGTGACTCTACCTTCATATGAGGAAGCCGTGAGCAGCAGTGGAGCTTCTGCTCTCAGTTCAGAATCTCGAGTTCAGATAGTGCTGTCGGAGGGTCAGCATGCTACAGCGCCAGAGGCTGGCCCCTCTAGGCCTTCTTCCCTCAAGCAGCAGCAGCAGCAGTCTGAGATGGCTGTGGTCCATCCCGTCCCACCGTCTTCATCCTCTTCATCTCCTTCTTCCTCTACCTGGGCTTTGGAGCACGCAGGTGCTGCAGCAGGCACCTCTTCATTACAAAGAAGGCCGTCTGGAGGAAGCGACCACCATAGCCTGTCTCTGGACTCTGAGATGGATTACTCTGATGGTGAAGCTAAATTTATTTTGATGTCTTTCTATTTATTTAAAACACTTTTTTTTTTTAAATTTTGTAATAATCAAACTTTTGTCTTTCCTTCACAGATATTCCATTGCTGAAGGAGGCTTGAAACATGCTGCAGCCTTTGGACTTACCCAAAACAACCAGCTTTGCGACTAACCTGTAATGATGAGCATGAGTTTCTCACCACAGCTGTCAACATAGATAAACTCAACTACAGAGGCCCAGAGGGAAGCTGTGGGTCACTCAGAAGAGTTCATCTGGCCATCGCAAAGGAGAAGACAGAAAGGATTCACATGTACATACATGCTTACAGTTTCATGACATTTCACACACTATGTATGTATGTCTAATATCTAAAACTCAGTTTGAAAATGTTGAACAAAGCAGAAAGGAGCAGGCACTTCTGAGGGAGTTTATATTCAGTTCTGTTGGGGTAAAATGTCTATTGTGTTTCAGTTGACTGGGCAAAGCTGCAAACTCATCTTAGGAGCTATAAAGTAATTTGTGTCTTATTTGCCGTTTCTTTTCTTTAACCACTCGTCACACCATTCATGAAACATGGTCGCAATGATACATAAAGGCTAGTCAAATAAATTGCTGTCCATGTTATGTGAGCTCACAGCATCATCTTGAAAGATTTTCTGATTAATCATAACTTACATTTTTCAAGTCTCACTGTATATTATAAAATTCTTTGTCGTCATCCCCCCCCCCCTTCCCCAAGAGTTCACACTGCTGAATTCAGGGTGTACATTCAACATACTTCATTCCTCCAAATATATTCTCCTCTTAATACTCATACCCCTCCCCCCAATGCCTTAGCTTTCCACTTCTATGCACAGGTATCTATAATTTGTGAAATTTTAAAAATGAATGTCAGTAAAATGCCTCCACTGCTTAGTGACATTATATGTGGCTTTGCCAGACACATTACTTGTACACAGGTAAATATTTTGTTATTAATTTATTCAGGCTGCTTCGGAATTCCTGTTTTGGTTCTAAATGGGAAGTTAAAAGGTGTATTTAATTTATTTGTGCCCAAAATGCTGTTGATCAGCCATGGCTTCTTTTTGCTTTTTTGTTTTTTGTTGTTTTCCTCTACAGCTCATGGAAACCTTAAAAAGTAGGTATTTTCACTTTGCAGCTTCACTTTGAATTCTACTGCAGGCACGTTATATGTGACACTGTAAATGTGGTTGGGAAGATCCAACACAAAAAAAATAAGTGTACAGATTGTGTAATGTTAAGTGTTCACTTTGTTTGATGGTCCATTGAGTTTACCTTGGGATTGTTGAATGGATTTTATTTTTTTTGTGAAAATGGTATTTTAATATATGTAAAAACCAAAAGATTTAAGTTTCCTCTGTATATATCTCACAGTCATTTTAATTAAATATAATTTAAGGTGTTACAGTTGGCTGTTGGACAGTTTTTTCATTGTTGCATCTGAGATACATCTGAGTGAAAAGAGCAGATGACACTTAAATAATCGTTATGAAGAGACACCTCCTCAGTGTCGCTGCCCTGATCTTTGAACAGGCAGATGACATAAAGTAAGGGCACTGGGTGGCTTTATTCTCTCATGTGCGAATCTGTTCCTTGTACCCTTCGCCAGCGCTGGAATATCATCAATGATGCTCTCATGGTCGCTTCGCCTCTGTCTTGAGGATCAACACTGGTCTGTATTAAAAGGGTAACACAATATTTAGTTTGACCTCATTTTCAACAGATCAGAACATCACAGTGTGGAGTGAGTGCATCTGCTCTGACCCCTTGGAGCTTTGCTGCAGAAAAACATGCAGGCAGCTGTCACACTTACCCTCAGCTGGTGGCTTGACTCTTTGATAACATCTGAAGCCCAGAGTGAAGAGAAAGACCTCAGCGCACTGGAATGTGATGTATAACAGAGGGAAGAGAAACATGGCCCCAATAACCTCAGGAGAAAAGGCCACCTTTAGGATTGTAATGCACAGCTGGATGTTTTGACATCCAGTCTCCATGGAGATGGTCCTGCTGCATCTAAAAATAGGTGAAGCAGTTTTCTTTATTAGCGTTTGAGACTACATATTTTAACTTTGAGAGCTGAATCCTCCTCTGCTGTAAAATATATGTTCTACTGAACATCTCATTCATATGTAAATTGTTTATATGTTTATTATTTATGTAAGTGAACACAAATCTGGGCAGATATTGGTTAGTAATTAGAACACAAGTAGTTTTGGCAAAGTGTAAAAAAATGTGGTTATGATTGTTTTTTGCATTTGCATCCATGTGTGAAGTAGTTTTTTATTGATATGTTTAGATGAGGTGAAGCTAATGTTAATTTATCTATGTGCTGTTGGTTAGTTAAAGATTTCTAAAAATATAATTAAATATTTCCTAAACAGAGTAATTTTTTGCATCTATACACATTTTTCTTTTGAATAGACTCAAGAAGACTCAACAAGCTTATTGTCATTTCGTGTGGTGTTACCCAGCCTGAAACGAAATACTGTTCCTCACCAGCCTCTACGGTGCAATAAGCAACACGGTTTAAAAAGAATACATTTAAAAAGAGCAGTAAAAAGGCAGCAATGAATTGCAACAATAGTTATGAATAAATAAATAGCATAAAATCTAAGTTCTAAAACAAACTCAAGACACATTAGATAGCAGCACTCTTTTCACAGAAGGGGATGGTTAAATTAGGTAGTGTATCTGGGAAGTGTAATCTGTGTGTGTGTGCGTGCTTGTGTAGAATAGAAACATACTTTTATTAATACATGGAGGCCATATTATTAGGTACGCATGTTCAATGCTAAAGACATTGAATGCAGACATGGTCATAAGAACCTGCTGAAGATCAAGCTGAGCATTGAATGTGGTGTGGTTGCTGATGCCAGTTAGGCTGGTCTGAGTATTTCCAAAACTGCCGATCTACTGGTTTCAATACACCCATCTGCAGGGTTTACAGAGAATGGTCTAAAAGAGAAAATATCCAGGCAGTAAAATGCCTTCGTTGATGCTCCAAGCTGATAGGAAGACAACAGTGACCCTCCGGCCCCACGACACATTGAACCTTGAAGCAGATGGGATACAGCAACAAAAAACTACAACGGATGCTTCTCCAGCCTGCTACGAACAGGACACTGAGACTACATTTTGCACAGGTGCATGAACTGAACAACGTAAGATTGGTAAAGCGACGCCGGGTCTGATAAGTCTTGGCTTCTGCTGTGGCAGTGGGATGGCAGTATCACAATTGGTGTAAACAACGTGAAAGCATGTATCCATCCTGCCTTGTATCAATGTTTCAGACTGCTAGTGATGGTGTAATGGTGTGAGTGACATTTTCTTGGCACTCTTTGGGCTTCATGGTGTCAACTGAGTATCATTTAAATGCCACGGCCTTCCTCAGCATTGGTGCTGGCCATGTCCGTTCATTTATGGCCACCGTGTATCCATCTTTTGCTGGCTGCTGTCAAGCAGGACGAAACATTATGAGAACCTTTCAGTTCAGCAGCAGGCTTACACTTGTGGTGCCATTTCCCCACCAAAAATATTATTTTAAATTGCAAAAATAAAACCTGCTTACAGTAGCAATTCATGAAAGACAATATTTAAAAAAAGTTCTGCTTTCTCTTTGAAACTGCATCGCAGCAGTAGTTCCAGTAAGAGTTTACACATCAACTGCCTTATTTCCTCTTGCATAAACACTGCAAGAACACTGACTATTGTTCAAGAGCAGTGCAGTATGAGAAACAGAATATACTGCAGAGAGCCTCTGTTTAGATTTAACATGAAGCATAAAGTTTAGGCACAACCTTTGACCTGCTTGTTTTAGAGTCAAGGAGAACACTTAGTGTGTATTCACTTACTGTGGACTGAGTCTGCATAAGGCAGACGTGGCATATCCCAGTGTAAAGCCAATCAGGGGCATCAGTGAAGCTGCAATAAGAGCATCGGGCATGAGGATCATCCATATTACATTTCTGACATTATAGAAGGCCAGGATGCAAATAATGATGCTGGAGATGATCAAAATACTGAGACCAACCTGTTGAAAAAGAGAAAAGAGATTACAATAGTTAAGAACTGGTTTTGATTAGGAGTGAAAAACTAAAGCCTTCTTGTTTTACAAACTCTGCTGGTAACGTAAGCCACAAATTACCCAAACTCTGTGCAATAAATCAGTTCTGGTAAACACAACTTGAAGATATTTCATGCCACAGTGTAAAAACCACAGGTGAAAATAATAAACTGACTTTTTTTTTTTTTTGGCTGGGTCATTTTCAAAGTCCTGAAACTGGAAACGATTTTTTTTTAGCAATTTATAAGAACAACTGCTCTTATAAATCTGAACATCTGCTGTGAAACCTGCTTAAATCTAGTCATGCGATGGCATGTGTCTAAGTGTGGGAGTCTCACTTTTTTGACCGTCACTGCGGTGTTTGGTTTGAAGTGATTAATAGCGATGCCGAAAGCACAAGGCACCAGGGTGAAAGCAAGAGCGGTGAGGATGCCGACATACGGCATGGCATTTTCCAATCCAGTGAAGCCTTGAGAGAAGATATACAGCAGCAAAGGCATCAGACCCAGGGCTGCAATGTTGGAGCAAGTGGTCATCACAATGCTGGGAGGGCAATAAAGTGAAGAAGGAAAATCATTGCACTGATGTGCAAAGTATCTCACCGCATTATTTACTTTAAAAGCAGTGCGATTACTGCAAACAGGAGCATCAGCCTACCTGAGGTTCATGTCGCCTTTCATAACAAGAGAAAAAATGTTTGATAAGGTTCCCCCAGGACAGCACCCACAGATAAGCACGGTCACTGCCTTTATGGGCTCCATCTGCAGGATTTTGGCAAGACTGAAAGCGGTAATGGGCATGATGCAGAACTGGGACAGCAGGGCAATGGCTACTCCTTTTGGCTTGAAGAGATAGGCCTTCATTTTGAAAATCTCCATTGTGCAGCCCAGGGATATCATGGTGATAAAAAGGTTGAGGATAGTTAGTATATTGATTGTGTTGTTTATTGGCATGTTCAGGGAGGCCAGGGTAAAATTGTCAGATGCATTCGCTTCATTAAAAAGGCTCCCGCCATGAACTTCTGTCAGGTTCATCATAGCACTTGCACCAGTGTTGCGATTTTACTGAGATTTGGCTTTCACCTGTCACACGAAAGAAGAGGAAATGCAAACATGTTAAAGACATTAACATTTCAGAATTAAAGGTCAACAATAGGTCTGTAAGCACAATAGCTCAAGAAGTTTTAAATGAATTCTGATAAAACTTTGTAGGGGTGCAGAGTGGGGTCATGTTAGGGACACATTAAAATTTGGCTTACATCCACCAAGGTCTTCAAGGTCAACTGAACGATTTACTGATTAAAAATTGACAGCAGGTCTTATAACTTAAAAAGTTTGATTCTTACAAGTGAACTGTGTATCGTCAGCACATAGAAAGTACCATATAAAGATTTAAAGTATCATGTCACATTTGACCTCTGACCTCTCCTTCAAAGTCAATAGATTGATCTGAAGGTCAAAGTGCTACATAAAACTGTTTGAAACTTTGCTTCTTCTTCTTCTTTTTTATTTTTTTTGGAAAACTAACTTTTATCACTTGATACTGATTAGTAACCAGTAACGGATCAAAACGTGCTAATCCGTTTGAAGTGCATGGTCGCAAGTTCCAAGTTCCAGCTAGATTACGAACATTAACAACTTTAGTGGTTAAACCACTGTCAAAGATAAATCCTTGAGACTAGAGCTTCTCTCCAAAGGTTTGCTTGGTGTGCACAAAGAGGATCTTTTGGGGGAAATTAAACCTCTTTGTTGTCATCCGCCATGTAAAGTATCTTAGGTGGTCTAGTATCTAGTAGTAACTGATACTTAATATTCATGGCATGCTCTCTGCAGGGAGAAAAACAAGCCTTTTTTTTTTTTTAAATGTGGACAGTGTGTGGTGTTAAACTAGAAGTTTTCAGTTCTGTGAAAAAAGAAAGCACATGTTGCAGTACTAGCTTTACTCTAGATCCTGAGTATTTACTGTTATATTCCCATATATCATCATGATGTTGTTTATTGTATTGCTCTCGTTTTCTTCTGCTTGTTTTCTTTTTTCTTTCTCAACAGGTGATCCAGGTGATTGATATATGTATTTTTTTT